TTTAGGGTATAGGGTTTAGGGTTAATTACTTCGGCACACAACTGCCCATAGCAAGACATTTGACGCAGGTAACACAGAAGCTTTCAGAAGTACCAAAACTAGTCTTTTGGGTTCCTCAGCATTCTACAGTACATATAGTACATACTATGCCCCTACGTCCGTCGTACATCGAAGATCTTTGGTGTCGTTCCTAAACCCTGAACTAAAGTGCCTATACCTGGCTGCCCATCGACCCGGAAGCGTGCAGGATCTGCTGGACGAGCCTCGCTTCGTACCCATGAACAGTGGCCATGTGAACTATATGCTCTTCCTGACGAGATACCAGGTGCGCTCTTCGATGCAGGAAGGGGTTGTGGCCGGGTGCAACATGTCCAAACTCTACTTCCTGAACTTCCTAAACCCTGAACCCTAAACCCTAGTCCCCTGAGCTTGTAAGACTTTTTAGTAAGGACCGCCAGGGTGAAGTCCGCAACTTCGCTTCTCTTCTCATTTGAGGCAGAATATAGGGGCCTTAATAATTGCCTATACTGTTTTGGGGGTTCCTTAATGTAACTATACTATTCCATACCCCAAAATTGGTCATCATAACTTCCCACAGCCATGACCCTTGCGCCACCATGCGGGTCGGGTGGAATCACACCGGCTTCACTTCTTGACATGGCCTTGGCCGCACGGTAAGCTTGTCTGCATGTCGAGCCGAACTGGACACATTGTTCAAAGCCGCTTCCGATCAGGTGCGCTTCAGGCACAAGCAAGGCTGGACTGCGGGGCGGTTTCGCAACAGTTTAACCCCAATCCCCAACCAGTTCCTGCCAAGGTCGAGTACCCCAAAATCTGACCCCTTAAAGCCTTTAACAAACACCCTTAAGCCCCAAGATGCCCGAAAGCCTAATCCGCGGACCCCTACAAGCCTTGCACTAGAGCCTGTAAGCCCTCTCTGTCTAAGGACTCGACCAAGAAGAGTAGGTTTATGGGTGGGTTTGGTAGGTTGAGGTAGCTCCAAACTATTTCTTCCAGCTGTAGGGGGTGGTGGGATTGAGCTTCGGGATGTGCCGTTTGGGATGAGGTTTCGGGTTCCAGGGTTTAGGGTTCAGGGTTTAGGGTTTAGGGTTTGGAGTTTAGGGTTCAGGGTTTGGGGTTTGGGGTTGGGGGTTGAGGGTTCGAGATCGAGGGGTTAGAACCTCTGCCCTTTATGCAGAAGAGTTCGAGTATGTGGGGCTTGACTAATATAGGGGCCTTCATAAAGGGTGGGAGTTCTTTTTGGGTATTTTTTTTTGGTTTTTTTTTGGTATTTTTTTGGTTTTCGGTTCAACGGCTACTTGAGTCCATAAGACGGTCAGTCAGTCAGTCAGTCGGCGAGCCAACGGAGCGGTCAGTCAGTCCGTCAGTTGGCGAGCCAACGGGGCGGTCAGTCAGTCAGTCCGTCGTCCAAAGAAGGGCGGTCAGTCAGTCAGTCAGTCAGCCAACCGCGCGGTCAGTCAGTCAGTCAGCCAGTCATG